GAAGAAAGCTGCACCTGTAAAATGCAGGAGTTCTACACATAGGAGAATATAACACCTAGATCCCCATCCCAATAAAACCCCATGAATGAGACCGTGCAATTGCACAATAACAGCCCTCTCTGGAAGCATCCAGGATCTCTGCATACGCTATTAGGGAAAACTTTGGAAAATATAATGATCTCTCAGTAGAGATTATACAATATGCTTTACACATTCATTCCTCCATTCTTTAGTTTGGACTTACTTTGGAATAATGGCCATAGAAAACCTGTCCTCTGAGACCAGATCTTGCAGTTCCAGTGCTTTTGGATACGATCAAGATCTAGATTTACCAAGCTGCTAAAGTCCCATTGCTTCCAGCAGGCTATTCCCTGCACTGTCCCCACTCTGTGTCCCTTCACTGTCCAGAAAGTGAATTTGCTTCTGGTGGATGGAAGCTTTGGCAAATATTTTGCACTACACCAGAAGTCGAAAAGCTGGCACCTTTCAGATGTTTTTTACTGTATCTCCCAGTCTTGGACCACTGAACAGATTATGAAGATTCTGGGAACTGCATCTCCAAATATCTGGAGGGCACTATAATGTCTTCCCCCTGATCTACAGGATTCAGAAATTAACCCCACCTGTACTTGCTGCCTCCTGATTCTCCCCTTTTACTCCTGCCCCTTCCATCCATTCAAGACAGATCCCATGTTTGAACTTAACTAACCCAGTCTGTCCACTGCCCTCGCTGCCCATGATGCTGAAGCCCTTATCACAGACGTCGAGACAGAATGCATATCTATGCCCAGCTGTGCAGATCAAGATACCCTCTCTGCCCTGCACATTTGCCAACAAAACTCAACACAGCCTCAGCGCCTGGCAGGATGAGGAGGAGGAGAGCCTGGTTCTGTCTTTCAACTTCTGCAATTTGCTAGTGTAGCAGAGAAAATCGCTAACCTCAAGTGTGGGAGGCTGTCCTCTGCTCCATGTCATGTGGGACCAACCAACTGGCAAAGATAGGCACCAACTCAAAATTCCTGCTTTCCTAACCCAGACAAAAAAAGCAACCACCTAAAACTTTAAAGGAATGGTGCCAAGCTTTCTCGACTGGGCCAGATGAGAGGAAGGGAACTTCTTGCGAGCACCACTGCCCATTGCTCACACAATCTTCTGGGAAACAGAAACTGTGGCAAGCAGACATATAATGCCCCAAGGCACCACAAGAGAGAGCCCACAAATTCATGTTTCTCGTGTAATATTGAGCAAGGTTTGGGATTTCAGTGGGGAGAGGCCCTCACATGGGGAGCCCCCATATCCTATTTCCATGCATAAGGGAATAATTAGTTCCAGCAGACCAATTTCCCCAGAAATAGCAACCCAAGAAAGAGTCTCCGCGACACAGTTGATACAGTGAGGCAGGACATACTGACTAACCATTGGTCCACTTGCATGTAAAAACATTCCATAAGAAGGGACAGAAACTGGTTGGCCCAGATCTATTTAACAAGAAGCAGAGCAGGGCCTGTCCCCAGGGTTAGAAAAAGTCCTGCCTAAGCTACCATATGGACAGCTCTTCCGCTTTTCTGCATGCAAATTAGCTAACATCAGGCCTTTGGGGGCACAGCACACCAAACAAGCTGACCACCCTCTTCCCGCAGAGCAGAACAGAACCAGGCTCCTTCCAGGAATCCCTCCCCTGCAATCCAACCCTTCAGTTAGTTCAGTCTCAGTTAGGTTCATTTTGAGCCCGTCTCCATCAAGAGGTGGAGCAACATCTGATTGCAATCTATTTAGATTTGGGAGGAAACTGAAATGAACCTGATACACTTGTTGTTCTGTTTGCAAAGATTCTTTTGTCATGCAAGAACCACCCACACAAAGAAAACACTGGCAACACGAGGCAATGTGGTACATCCAGCAAACCCATGCTAAAATGATTTCCCATCATTGCTACCCCTCCCCTAAATGTGGCAGTTCAGCTATTTAGACTTACTCTCTCAAAAAGCAAAACAAAACTCCTTTCATTTACTGCCTTGCATAGATCACAGAAAGCTTTGTACTGAATCAGGCAATTGGTCCAACTAACTCCATATTTTCTACATCGGGGAAAGCAGTTTTTCTGGGTTCATGGGCATGTTTGGCTGAAAAACTTGCCCCAGGCACCACCACAAAATGACTGCCATAGGATCCCTGGCTAGTCACCCAGGAAAAGCAACCTGACTAAAAGATACAGGACAAGGCAGAGCTAGGTCTGAGCTCAAACACATAAAACAACACCTCTGAAGGCCAAAATAAGACTAGGGGGAAAGAGCACCTCCACCGCCTGTTGTCTTTTCCAGACTGCAATGAGTTGCAGGGACTCTCCCGGGTTGCACAACAGTCTCTCCTACCCCCTCCTTGAACTTGGGAGCTTCGGCATGCAAAGTTGTTCTCTAGTTCTGAGCTGTGCCTGTCTGCTTTATTTACTCCCTCTCTAAAAGTGCATCTGGGCCCAGGTTGGGTTTTTTTTTTTTTTAGTTTTTTTTTGCATGCTTTGCTACTGAAAAACTGTTCAACTAACTATCACATTCCACACCTCATTTTATGACTGGGCAGTCTTCAGCATTCCGCTTCATGGTCATTTTGTAGGAATGTTCCTCACTGACAGGGTACTAACCTTACCACTATTGTCATTGCATGTGTACACTCCTTAGAAAATGCCTAGATACCTCAGCAAATTTTGTTTAGAAACATGGCTTTCTAAACCATGTTTCGACCATCCAGAGTGCATTTTAATTCTCAAATCCATCTCCTCTGCTCTGGTTTTTGTTTCTGTTCTTCCAGCATGCTGCATCCAATTTACCAGTCAGGCACAGATCCTAGCAGGCAATGTAATTTTTTTTACAGCTGCAATGTGTCTAAACTGCCTGCTTGTTGGGGCAAATGCCCTCTCAGCCCCCCAGATATGGGTCTGCACAAATCCAGTTTTTATTAAGAAACTGTGATTTACAAGCAAAGCTTTCAGTTCTGTGAGAATGAAGCAAAAACCAGAAGATCATTACCAATCGAAATCTGCAATTTAAGCTATCTCAGTAGGGTGTGAGATTCCCTTCTAGTGGACTGGGACAAAAAATTAACATAGTGTATTTTGGAAGTTCCTGCTGTTTATTAAATAAAAGTAAAACAAACATCTTAAACTGATCACTCTCCAGGGCATCAGACATTTTCCAAAACAAATTATACTAATTTTCCATAGGAACATTTTCCAAGCACTTCCATTGCTCTACATGGCTAGGATAAAACATGTGTTTGATTTCCATCCTATCACCTTCCTATTAGGAGAGACTAATCCCCACCCCCAAATGGGAACACACACAATCGGCTCAGCCCACATGGTTGCAATACTGATACATGTACCAGCATCTCATGAGACAACACAGCACAATCTCCACAATACTGTGCAAAAGAGAGTCACTGAGTGTGAGGGAGCCTCAGCCACAAGTTATCTGATAGATGTAAAGAGCTGGGGGACTCCTGTGATAAGCATGCCCACTTCCTAAGGAACTGGGCCGTTTTTGCCAGCCTCCCGTCTGAGAAGGCATCAGATGTGCCCTTGCTGAGTGGAAGACATGTGAGGCGAATACAGCATAAGTCTTGCTTGCACGGATACATTATAATACGATTACTACTCGGGCAAAAACAACATGCAAAGGCAGCCCCAAGGCTGCCCGTATCTCCAAATGTTCTGAATACAGATTAGCATTCGTTCCCCTGCATTTATCATCACTGCCTTGAAATAGGAACAGCAAGCCCAAGACAACAAGAAGGTCATCTGTTATGATGGGCATTTTGTCTCAGCTGCTCTGTGGCTTCTACAAAGAGACCCTGTTGTAACTTGCTACATAATTAACTCCTACTCTGGAAAGTCAGAGTAGCTAACCCAGTTCCTTGCTCCTCCTTGCTATAAAGATACCAGTGTCACTAATTTTTTTTTCAAGCTAAGTAGGCAGATCAAACCATCCATTTCATCTGCTGGAGGGAAACAGAAATAAAAGGGGGATTGAGTTAGGGTAGCAAGTTGGAGTAGAAAGCATGGATCTCTGACAAAGGACAGGACATGATCCATGCCATGTGTTAGCATACAGAAAACATGGAATAACAGATATTATTTGGTGGGCCACTAAATCTTTTCATTCTGCATCCATCTTTGTGTCCTATATCAAGCTGAAGTGGTTTCCACCCTATCAAAACACTATGAGTCCCAACATGGGAACAGACAGGATACAAATATAATAACAATGGAAAAAGGTGGGATATAAATATAATAAAGAAATAATTAGAAAGACAAAGTCAGGTCTCAAGAAGAGTGTTGGTGAGCAATATCCTGGGTTGTTGTTTTAATGTATAAGAATGTTTATTTTTACCAATTTTCCAAAGATTACCATGAACACAAAGTTGTAACCAAGGGAGTTGAGTGAGTGGAATTCAAGTCCCAAACTATGCACAAGCGAGAATCTGACTAAAGTTTCACTTACAGGCCTTAGGTTTATAAAGTACCCTGTTAACACTTACACAACTGGAAAAGGCAACCCTGTTCTAATAGCAATTTCTTCCACTAATGGTACACTGGGTTTCAGACAAATCATTCCCTCTCTCTTATCCCAATCACCGGTCTCTCAAAAAAGCCAGTTTAAGGAGTATAAAAGAGAGAAAAGCAAAAAAGCAAAGCTGGAGGTGGATTGGGGTGGGGGGAGTTATCTATACACAACATGATTCCTTGGCATCACCAACCAAGTTGACTGCACCACAGTAATCACCAAGTGCTCCTTAACTTCCAGAATGAATAAAAGCTGTAAGCTTTCGACCAAAGTTTCTTGTCTTATGTGTGAAAGAGTGCTATCTTAAGTTAATCAAACAAAGAGGTGCACCATCAAGACTTCTCAGCACAACCTACAATACAGATCCTGCATTTGAAAGCCCAAAGACTTGTAAACTTGGCTCAGAGATATCTGGAAGAGCTCTCACCGTATGTACCTTACCTGTCTCGGGTCTTGAATGTGAGCTAGGGTTTGTGTCATCAACTTCTCTTCTGAAACGGCAGAAAATGTGTTCAGCTTAGAACTGAAGTGGAAAGATCAGTGCAGTTTTGAGGCACGCGCATCACATGACAAGTCCAGGTCGCAATGGGACCACGGCACAACTTTCCATAATGAGCTATCAGCCCTCACAGTCTGTCTTACTACAGAATTCTTATCAAGAAAGAGCTCAGGGTAAGGAGCACCAAAGCATATACACAGAGCAAGGGCAAAATGCAGACCACCCCTTGTTAAAATCTGTCAAGATCCTTAAGCTTACCCATACACATGCACACACATAACTTAGAGCTATTAAGACAGTCCTCCATTCTCTGTTCTTCTACTGAGATTTGAACATTCAATGCTCTCTCACTTTACAATGGTTTTCACTGTAAATTTAGCTGCTTCACAGAGACCCGTAACACCCATAACACCAGCTCCAGCATTCAAGTGACAAACACAAGCAATTATTTTAAGAGCAGCTGGTTACAGTTTGTTTTCTCCCCCGAAAATTTATGGTACTGAGATCCGGGCAGGGAGGGACACTCTTCCCTCTAGGCAACATGATGCTTCGCACTGAAAAACAGAGCTACAAAACTACCCCACCCCACTCCACAACCCATACCATATGCCTTGGCAGGCAGAAAAACAGAGAGACCTACCAAACAAATACACCCCAGTCAACAACAACCGAACTTCCAAAGCAAGGGGCAAACCACTGGAGAAACTTCTCCACAGAGGAACATGGCAAATGAGGCTGGCTTACACATCCTGCAAGAGTAATAAACCGCTTGGTTGGTTCCTGCTGCCTGCTTTCCTCACAATCCTTGCAACTCCCCTTCCAAAACACTCTCATACAAAGAACCCTGCCCAGCGTCATAGCCAAACATTCTTCCACAGCTAATCAGAGAACGGGAGGGGAGGGACACCCTTCGCTTCACATTTCTTTCATGCTAACAACTGAGTTCGCATGTGCATGTCCGTACATGTGCCGTGCACATCACGTTCCCGTTTAGATGCAGTTCATTCCTTGCAGTCCTCGGCAGCTCCAAGACATAACCTGGAGCAACCTACAGTCAATGAGACATGAGCTACCACACTCAGGATCAGGCCAAGAAGGCAGCAATTTGTATAGCCTCGCTTCTTCCCTGTGCTTGGCACAGGACTGTACAAAAACTCCTGGATCTGCGCCAAAGGAAAGCCCAGGAGATTTTTCTCTTTCCAGCTGGCACAAGGAGCAAATCATGCACCACTTCCAAGCCCCCACTTTTCTCCCTCCTCCCCAATTCTCCAGCCTTAGAAGTCCAAGCATCATGTTTCAGACCCTTTCATGCTCCAAACGTAAAGCAGAAACCGATTCATTATTAGCACTCAGTGAACTACACACTGCGCAGCTGCTGACAGCTTGGAATTTGCCGCTAGACAACCCAAAGCACAAGCTCTGAAGAGCAGTGTTGTGACCCGCAAACACTTTACTCATGTTTACCCACAAATACAGATTTCCATCTTATCCATTCCTTTTCTTTAATGAGCATAAGACCACAATTGGAAGGCAGGGGAGGGAACACAGAATCAGAATAGTAGAGCTGGAAGGGGCTGTTGCAGGACACCAATTTACACCATCCCACTCAGATGGGTGCCCAGTTTCTTTTTGAATACATTTATCCTACTGCTACCCCACAAACATAAAAATGTGTTAATCTTCTGTTCTATAGTGGAAAAGTAAGGCTCTTCCAAATAAAAGGTGAGATGAAATCTACACATATTCTCCACTCAGGATCTTGCCTGAGGGTGCTTTTCTTTCATTTCAAGACCCACACCACCCAAATGCAAATCCATGACCTCTACTCTAAGACCACAATCCTATGCACACTTACCTGGGAAAAAGCAAGCCCTTCTGAATTCAGTGGGACTTAATGGTAACTGAACATTCATAGGACTGGTCTATTAGAGTGCAGAAATAACCAAACATTTGGAGTGTGTGCCTATGCATGTTTATGCAGAAAAGTCCTGCAACTTAGAGCATGCCCTAACCAGCATAGGATTACATCCTATGAGAAATAAATCCTAGCTCAGTTTTAGAGATGGGAAAGTCAAGATTCAAACTACAGCACACTAGATACAGTAAACAGAGAGCTACTAATTCAAACCTAATTCAGCCATAAGGTGGAGCATGCCCAAGAGACACAGCCTGCAAAGTAAACTAAGCATTCTACAAAAGCTGCAGTCCTCGAACCAGTTATGTACAAGCACTTAGTCTTAAATCATCCACAGTAAACATCTGGCCTCAACTGCTTTGCTGCAAACTAATACCCAGCAGGAAGAGACAGTTTGCCCAAGCAAAGGAGGGGAAGCTTTCCATGTCTACAGCAATTGCCATTCCAAATACCAAGTCTCTGCTGCTGTCCTATTGAGTCAAAGATGGACTGGCATAACAGACGTGGTTCAGAGGGCAGGCTGGTTGGGGTTGGAGCCCAGAGGAATTCTTTGGACAGGGCTTTCATTGATATAGTTGACTGCTTGAGAGTCTACTCTTACTATGCGATTGTAAAATGGAAAGAAAATATAATGTAAAAGAAAGTTGCCAGAGCAAGCTGGGCACAGCATGCACTGGGAGGAAAGCTTCAAAGTAAGTTTGCCCTGGGGAACAGAAGCCCTGGACACCTCAGCAGCCACTGCCAACTTCCAGGGCCTGAACTGTTAAATTTTTCTTCATGTGCTGGGCACTCATATCAATACATCCTACTCATGAGAACCATCTCCAGTGCAGCCCATTTCAATGAAACATACCAGTGCACACACTATTCACTTGAACCCTGAACATTTCCCCCTCGTCAACCCAGGGTGCTCCTTCAGGCCGCTCCCACAGACACTAACCTCCTAGCCAGGCCTCCCCCAACTCTAAGCCCTCCAGATGTGCTGGGAATACCACTCCCATCTTCTCCACCCCACACAGGAATTGAGATCCAACACACCTGAAGACACTGCGTTAGAGAAGCCTGTCGTAGCCTCTCCATATCAGCCCAGCTGAACCCCCTAAAGTCACCCTGCTTTTAACACCCCTGCTCCACACTTTGGCTCAGCCCAAGAAGACCTACACCGCATCGAGTTTCCTGCACCACAGAGTCCGTCTGCCGCCGTCCAAAAAAGTCTCTCTCCCCTCTGGCGCAGCCATCCCCGCCCGCCGCAACACCACCTTTCCCCTAACATCAGTCCAGTGACTGATTTCCCTATTTCTACGGTCGCCCGATTCATTAAAGTTCTCTGCGCTGCTTGCAATGCGATCGCCGTATTCAAAGGCAACATAAAACAGTAAAAGCACAGTTAAAGTACGGATTTTAGGCGCGGAGCATATTTAGTTTCAAATAAAAGCATGCTCAAAGCATATGCCTTCTCTGGGAAGTGACCGGGCGGGGGATCTCTTACTTCCTCGCATCCCCATCTTTGCTTCTCAATCCCCGGGTTAGCTTATCACTGGTAAGCCTATTTCCTGGCCCCTTGTATTTCATCAGGGCCACACAACCAGGCAGCTGCTCACTCACCCTCACCGGGACGAGCACTTGGACAGCGCGACCCCCACCAGCTCACTCGACTGCCGCTTCAGCCTCTCCATGCGCGGCCCCAACATCGTGCTCCGCCCGGCTGCCACCCCCCTAAAGCCCCCCCAGGCAGCGGCCAGTCGAGAGAACGGACAGCGGGAAGGGGCCGCTCTCGGGAGAGTCCGACGGGCGGACAGAGCCTGGCTCCAGGCCATCAACGGGAGAAGGAAACGCAGGGCTCCTTCAGGGTTAGCAGCAAACTTCGTCCGCGCACATGAAACGGAGAGACTTTACAAACACACTCTTATGCGTGTTTACACAGAAAAATGTCCTACAACTCCCAGCATTCCTCAGTCAGCCGCGTTGGCCGGAGAATGCTAGAATCTGTTGGCGGTTGTTTGTTTTTGCCCAAACATACATAGCGCTCCCGAGGCAGGGGGTGTTTCCCCCATTTTTAAATTAACAATGTTTAAAGAGCTAGCAATTTTGTTTTCAAAAGGACTGGAAACCAGATGAACTGCCTGCCTGCTTTCCCCGCCCCAAAAAGCTCTAGGCTGGCTATGGGCTTGGTGGATAGAATTGCACCCTAAGGAGAAAGACAGAGGGAGCAATAGCTTGGGCGGAGCAACGCTTCTCCCATCTCAGCAAGTTTCAAAAGCACTGACAACAGATTCTATAGCGCCTTTTCTGGTCGTGGGTCCCCAAATTTTGACCATTGGATCCATTATCATCATCTCAGAAAGGTGTTCTTACCGATGTCATTTTCCACACTAGTTTCTTATGCCCGCCCACCCCCGCCCAGCCCGCCACGACTTTTGAGATCGCAACGAGAGGAACAAACGGCAAACAAGTATTGAGACAACTTGAAGACTGGCCAGTCGTTGCCGCATTAACTTTAGTGAACTCCAGCCACTTCATCAGATGCATGAAGTATTATCCTAAGCTGAAGGGGGACACGTACGCGTGCGTGCGTGCGTGCGTGTGTGAGAGCGAGCGAGCGAGCGAGCGAGCGTGCATAAACACGTACTCACACCAAGGAGCGGAACGTTCCGGCAAGCAGCGTCGTATGCACATTTTCAAGTTCTAACCTCTTCAGGATTCATGTCTAAGCATAAACAGTGACAGAGACAGAGAGAAAACACGAGTCATAATGCTGAAACCCCAAAGTGTATAAAGTTTGTGGTTATTATAATTATTTTGTTGTGAATTTCAAGAAAACTAAGAACAAAACCATCAAAAGAAAAAAGGGGAACGAAAAAGAAAGAAAACAGAAGAGAAAGAGAATGCAGCCTTCTTAAAGTTTGAGTAGCTCAATTACAATATATGCCTAGGAAATGTATACACACGTTGCACACGCATGCACGCACATGCACGTACACATGTATATGTAAAGAAATATATTGGTGTCAATCAAAAATGTTATTTGTAAACTTCAACAAAGTTAAACCAAATAACTTTGAGATTGTCTTAAGGTGCAGTGCAGAAGGGGTTAGGGTTGGGGTTAGGGATTTCAGGCTACACCAAGGGAGACAAACAGTAAGTATTGTTCCCCTATCTTGGAGTCAGCCATTATTGTTTCAGCAACCTTTACTGCTACCTGCAATCTGTGGTGCAAATATTATTAAATATAATAAATATTAAACAGCAGTCAGTGTAAGCGAATTAAGTTTACCTGAAATATCTTGCATGTATCTTAAGGCAGATACAAATTGCAGACCTTGGTTCTGCCATTTCGTTCTTCTTCCTTTGCTTTGCATAACAACCACCCTGAAGAAGAGTTCTAGAGAACACAAATGCTTGCCCACTTCTTTGAGTCGTTTTTGTTGGTCCTTACCCCATTATCCTAGCCTTTTGAGTTTTTTCCTATCTCCAATTTCACTCCTGCATACTTCACACTTAATTCATACACAGGAGTTAACACTCCTTTTTGATTCCAGTCAAGGCTAATAGGCCTGAATTCTCCTCTATTGCTTCACCATAGCCTTTCCATTCTGGTTAAAAGTGGAGCTAAGCAAGCCAACCATGTATTCTGGTAAATTTTACATTACTAAAATCATTCTGCAGTGAGTGTTACATTCTAAGAAACCAGGGAACACAGTTATTTCAGCGACAATATGCGCAGCTCGAAGTGCCACTGCTAATGTTGAAGTCTCTCTCACTTTGCATTCATCCAGATGAGACTTTCATTACCTTCTCTTATTCACAGAATTCTATAGAGATCCAAATAATGGCATCTTCCACTCATAACCCTCCTGGGATCTTCCTAACACTTCTCTTTTCTCTTACTCCACAAAATCTATTTTAAAAAATAGGGCACAAGGAACTCGCCATCTGAAAGCACCAAAGCAGGGAACTCTTGTACCATTATACAAACAACATAACATTTTTAAAAGTGCAGGGCCCAGGAGAGAAACACTGTGGAGCTATTGACAGCATTTCTGGGGTTCTGTTTTTGGAGCTGCTACTCATTTTGCAAAAAGAGAACTCAGTGCATTCCATGAGAGATTTGACAAAGTGTGTGCTGAGACAAGGACATGAATGTGACTCTCAAAATGAAGGAGGCCAATGAGTGTGTTTCAGCTAATTTAGGTCCCTGCAGTGCACAGGACTCTGTGTAATTAATTAATCATAGTTTCCAATGGAATTATCATGTAGTAGTTGTCACAAAACATACATTATTTGACATTAGTAATGCTGGCATCTCAAAGCAAGTGACCTTCCTGCTGTTGCCTGCA